AAAGGTTCTGTTTTTTACATTTCAGGGGCCACAAATCTAATAATATCCTAACAGAAGGCATACTGGGCCTTGTAGTTGGCCAATGACTGTCTGTATCACTTACCAGGGGGCTGACGGGCTCCTGGAAGGGGACACTCAGACTGTTACAATACAGAGAGAGAACCAACTTCTCACACTTCTGTGGAGAGAAACAAATGATTAGAAACAATGTATCTGCGTGGAGGATACGAGGAACGCGTCGCTCATCGCTCCTTCTTGTCAGGGGGTTCAATGAACAGAACAAAAGATACATTATTATTCAGTTAGAGGTCTCTTTATAAAGGGTTCGTTGTGTGATTCACTCAGTGAAAGTTTGGGGAACATTCTGTGTCTATTTGGCTATTATTTTTTTTTAAAGAATGTTTATTTATTTTCTTTGAATTCCACAAACACAACATCACATTCAATCCAACTTTACAATTCCTTCTAAAAACTTATAATTAGCTTCTAATTCCTTCATAATTACACAACAATAATAAATCTTTGTATCCCACCATCCAACACCCCCTCCCCCCACAAAAAAAAACACATACCAGGGTACATACATACCGTGTTTCCCCGAAAATAAGACCTACCCCAAGGATCTACCCCGAGGACCTACCCCAAAAAATAAGACCTACCCCGAAAATAAGACCTACCCCGAAAATAAGACCTACCCCGAAAATAAGACCTAGTCTGGTGGTAGCATGTGAGGGGGAAGAGCAGGAGAGATGGTATCGGCCTGCAGGGACATACTGTATTAAGGGGATGACAGGGGACTCCCTCCGGCCAGCACAGTGACAGGGAGCACTCCAGTACCGGACTTCACCAACTGCTGTCCCCCTGAAGGTACTGCTTAATGTAATGGTACTGTACTGTATTGTGTACCGGTAAATGGTACCGTACTTTGCCGCGCTGTCTGATGTCCCCACTGCTGCACCGCTGGTACCGCTGTCCCTGGTGGCAAAGGAAGCCGGCGCTGTAGAAAGCATGCTGCGGCGGCAGGAGGGAGCAGAGCCGCATTAGCAGATACTTCCTCTATAGCGCCGGTTACTGTGACAGGCAGAGTGACATAAAACACATACCAGGGTACATACATACCGTGTTTCCCCGAAAATAAGACCTACCCCAAGGATCTACCCCGAGGACCTACCCCAAAAAATAAGACCTACCCCGAAAATAAGACCTACCCCGAAAATAAGACCTACCCCGAAAATAAGACCTAGTCTGGTGGTAGCATGTGAGGGGGAAGAGCAGGAGAGATGGTATCGGCCTGCAGGGACATACTGTATTAAGGGGATGACAGGGGACTCCCTCCGGCCAGCACAGTGACAGGGAGCACTCCAGTACCGGACTTCACCAACTGCTGTCCCCCTGAAGGTACTGCTTAATGTAATGGTACTGTACTGTATTGTGTACCGGTAAATGGTACCGTACTTTGCCGCGCTGTCTGATGTCCCCACTGCTGCACCGCTGGTACCGCTGTCCCTGGTGGCAAAGGAAGCCGGCGCTGTAGAAAGCATGCTGCGGCGGCAGGAGGGAGCAGAGCCGCATTAGCAGATACTTCCTCTATAGCGCCGGTTACTGTGACAGGCAGAGTGACACCGGATAACGTTTGGATTGTTGTACATTTTGTTGCACAGTAAAAAAAAAAAAGAGACATCCCCTGAAAATAAGACCCGGCGTGTTTTTTGGAGGCAAAAAAAATATAAGACAGCGTCTCATTTTCAGGGAAACACGGTACATACAATTCTCCAATAGTATTTATCAGTCTAAAACAGGATACAAATCTTTCGTCTTAACACTATAGGTATTTCTGAACCTCTGAGGAGCTAAAATGTATTATTTTTCATTATTTTATTTCAATTTTTTTTTTACTCTTGGGGGGGCTTCGAGGAAATATTAGGGGTCTGACATTTCCCTTTTAAATAGAAAAAGAAATTGAGGACGCAGAGTCCTAAATCCCTTTTTCTGCAGCCCAGAGGCTTCCCATTCATTTAGAAAATATTTATTATCATCCAGTTTCTGAATGGGGAGGAGCCTCTGGCCTCTGTACAGAGTGCTACTCCCCAGGGGTGTCCCGAGCCTGGGTGACACCCCACAATGAAATCATCGCACATGTCTTGGTGATGGACGCCGGCAGAGAGAGGAGGGGACGTTCACCCGGCGGGATGAGGTATGCCGCTGGGTCCCCTCCTCTCTCTAGACACTGTCGGGCTTTCGGTCCATGACTGAGTGCCCCTGCTTTTTAGAGGGGGTGACACCAAAATGACTGTCAGCCGTTTTGGTGTCACCCCTCCAATGGTAAATACGAAATCACCTGCACCCCATGCAGCGTACAGACCTTGAGTAAGAGGTTGGTAGATATTAGAAGTCACCAGCACTCGATGATATGTGCAAGAAGTAAAGCACTTTTTATTCAATCGTCACATGCGTCAAACAGCCAACGTTTCGGGGGGGCCACGCAGGGTCCCTTCTGGGCGACACGTCACTATGCCGCCCAGAAGAAGGGACCCTGCGTGGCCCCCCCGAAACGTTGGCTGTTTGACGCATGTGACGATTGAATAAAAAGTGCTTTACTTCTTGCACATATCATCGAGTGCTGGTGACTTCTAATATGGACCCCTTCAATGGTGACACCCAGGTGCGGGCCGCACCCCCCTTATGACGCCACTGCTACTCCCCATTCAGAAACTCATGAGTGAACAGGAAGTAATGTAACATGAATTTACATGAATTTTTTTGGCAATTTCAGCGTCCATTCTTCATATACATAACATGATCTTTTAGGGAGATTATATATGAGAACAGAATAATAATTTCCTCGGTTGACTCACCCTCTGATTGCAGGCGTCAAGGTGCGGTAACATCCCCTCCTCTATTTTATTGTCGCGGCTATACCGAACGTTATCACAGTCATATTCCACCTCCGGCTTGCTCATGTTGCGGCACAGCGTGCAGACCCATTCCCCGCTGTAGAGTATAAAACAAAATTACTCCTGATTTCTAAAAACATCCAACCGGGGGGGAGGGTGACGAAGACCTGATTATCTCAGCTGCAGATTCCTCTCCGGCCAGAAGGTGGCAGCTGAGTACAATTCTCCTCTGCACCCTGCGCCCGCGCCATCCAACACAGCGGAGGCTTCTTCATGCTGTTTAAAGACCGGACTGTCAGCCGAAAATCTGGGTCTGAGCGTGCGAATTGTGGCCGCCAGCGACTAGTCAATGTTAGGGCAGAACGGGGGAGGGGCAAGACTGGTACAAGACAACAGAAGGGCCACAGTGCCGTGTCAGATTCCTCGCATCACCTTTCATCATCTCGTGGAGTCACCAGGCGGCCCAACCAAGTACTGATGGGGGGGGGGTCATAATAATCCGGCCACTCAGTGTATAATATGTTTTAGCATGTCCCCATAACCCGGTGTAACTATAAAAGACCACCGTGATGGTAGCGCTACATACACTGGGAAGCTGAGCAGAGCTGGGACGTGGCAGGACAGGTGGTAGACCTTCGGACAGTTGTCACAGCAGAGCATCTCCCCTCCGTTCAGGCAAACCGCGCAGAAATCTTCGTTCTCAATGTGGCCGCGGCCCTCCGACTTCTTCATAGGCAGCGGCCCCGGGATGGTTTTACCGGCCTGGCTCTGCTCTTCCATGGCCTCAGGTGCCACCATATGTCGGATCTCCTGACCCGTCCCACCCGTGTAGGAGTGTATCCGTGGGAAGACGTGGGGCTTGGGTGGGGGTGGTGGGGGCACAGGGTTCGGCGTGGGACGGGAGTTCGTAGTGTATGCTATTGGGGCTTGCTGCGGGGGCTCGCTGTAGGCCGAGGATGAGGACGTGTTATCTGTGTTCACCTGTAATGACAAAATAAAAACAAAATCAGGTTTCTTGGTATCCTTGGAGCCGTCTCACCGACTCTATGACATACAGACTACGTCTCTTCCCTCATCAGCCTGACTGCAAAGTAGGTGGTAATCCAAGCAGTAAAATCTAACACGTTATTGTCATTTCAAAGCCATTTTTTATATTCTTTCGTTAAAATAATCCCAGGTGATCCTGCCACGGTGGTCCTTGTTCAGACACTTCCTGTTATAGGGTGACAACGCTCAGTCCCTGTATCTCAATCATACCCCTGTGTTGTCACCCTGTCACACAGGCTTTCCGAAGGAGACTACAAGTGGTCCTTTCAGCACACATTACATAGACACGGCCCACTGTTGTCACCATCGGGGGAAACCCACTCGGAGAAATGCCGTTGCTGGGGTGCATGTAGATGGAAAGTGGCTGCAAAGAGGCTGCAGGAGTTCAGCAGCACTGAGATGGAACAAAGGAGGAAAAAAAGATGAAAACAGGATTTTGTTAAACTAAAAAAAACTACACAAATGACGCCCCCCACCCCCCACCAACCACCTCCACCCTCCTCCTGTAAGCACGTTCCCAGTTTTAGAATGTGCCAAGCATTGGAGCACTGATTGGCTCAGAATTCTGCCCCTCCCCCTGACCCAGAAGTATATACCTGTGTGCGCAGGACATTATGGGAGGACCCACCTTTATGGACATGCTCCTAGATCTGGCTCCATATTTAACCAGTAAGTGCACCGAGCCATCTTCATCCTTCTTCTTCTTCTTCGGCTGCAACTTGAAGACGGGGAGCTCTCCTGAATCCTGGGGACAGATCTTCAGGCGTTCCAGGCGCACATACGGGATTTTGGTTTCTTTGGGTTCTGGCCTGGACAGAGACGCAATCATTTGTTACTGACACAAGGGGAGACGTGAACCCCGAGCACATAAAATGCCGATTTGTCGGAATTAGGAGATATCACATAGGAATGGATGTACAGGACGCGTTTTGCTTCAGTGAAATGACTGTTGTAGAAGAGATGGAGCCGGCATCATCTGGCCCTTTCCTCCTCAGACTTACCACATAATCTCACACCTACAGGCAGGGCCGGATTTACTCTCTCTGCTGCCCCAAGGCCAGGCTCCTCAATGT